TGCCAGTTCAAGTCCCGGCTGCTCCACTTCTGATCCAGCTCCTTGCTGATGGCCTGGGAAAGCAGCAGAAGATGGCTCCTGCACTCACATGGGAGACCCAGAAGAAGCTCCAGGCTCCTGGCTTCAGATGAACGCAGCTCTAGGTGTTGTGGCCACTTGGCGAGTGAATCAGCGGAAGGAAGACCTCTCTCTCTCTCTCTCTGTAACTCTGCCTTTCACATATATAAATAAACCTTTTTAAAAAATATTTATTTATTTGAAAGGCGGAGGAACAGAGAGAAAGAGATCACTCATCCACTGGTTTACTCCGCGAACACCTATAACCACCAGGACTAGCCATGCTGATGCCAGGAGCCCAGAATTCCATCTGGGTCTCCCATGTGGGTGGCAAGGAGCCAAGCACTTGAGCCACTGCCACTGCCTCCCAGGTGCACATTAGCAGGAAGCTGGACTTGGAAACTACCTGAACTCAGACATCTGGACATGGGATGTGGGCGTCCCAGCCGCCGACTTACCTGCTGCAGTGGGATTAAAGGATATGTTTATTTTGGTGCAAAAAACTTGAAACCCACGAACTTTCGGAATTACCATCATATTTGAGAGTTTATTCGTCAAACAATTCATGTGGTCACTGGTACTCTTTTACACAAAAATTAATGCAAACCATGAAACCAGCCAAGGAAACAGTTAAAAGACAGCTGCTGTTGGCCATAGTAACCCTTCACACACCCAAATTCTGTGAGCTGCGCCATCAGAATAGTCGCCAGAGATGCTTCTAGCTTATTGTTCTACAAAACTATTTTTTAAAGATTTACCTATTTATTTATTTGACAGTCAGAGTTACACAGAGAGAGGAGAGGCAGAGACAGAGAGGTCTTCCATCCACTGGTTCACTCCCCAATTGGCTGCAATGGCAGGAGCTGCGCTGATCCAAAGCCAGGAGCCAGGAGCTTCTTCCAGGTCTCCCATGCAGGTGCAAGGGCTCAAGGACCTGGGCTATATTTTACTGCTTTTGCAGACCATAGCAGAGAGCTGGATCAGAAGTGGAGCAGCTGGGACTCGAACCAGCGCCCATATGGGATGCCGGCACTGCAGGCAGTGGCTTTACCTGCTACACCACAGTGCCAACCCTGCAAAACTCCTTAAAAAAAAAAAACTAAACTGCGTCCAGTCACTCGGGCACAGCGGAGTGGCACCTTCCAGGCTGCCCGAGTCCTTAGCTGTCCCTGTCGCAGAGGCCCGGTCACCCTCCCCAGGGTCAGGAGGGAGCGTTCGCGGTGCAGTATCAGGAGTTTGCATATTGAGTCATGGAACTTTATAAGAGTCTATGAAATGTTTATTTCTCTGCAGCTATCATTCTGCCAATGACAAGCTTACCCAAATGTCAGCTCCACAAAGACGCAGCCCGGAGCCCAGAGGGGCACCTGTGCACCAGTCGTCCTGGGAGAGAACCTTCTCCGTGTGTGGGGGGGGGGGGACCGCCAGCCAGACTCACCCCACCCTCCCGGCACAGTCTTGCCCTGAATTTGCACCCAAGGTTGTTGCAACCAAAACCCCCAGATCCTCGTTTTGCCAAGAGCACCCTGTATTTCCCTTCTGCCTGTGGACTGCTCTTTTGAAGTGAGTGAGGCTGGAGATTGTCAAACTATTTGTGGACTTTTTTTCTTGGGTTGAGATTAGCCTGGCACCCGAGAGGAGACAGGCTCTGGGCGGACTTGATAGAAAGCTGAGGCTGTGTCGGGGAACCGACTGTTGTGTGCACAGCGTGGTCCTGGGCACTGTTGCCATTGCTCCCAAGAGGGCTGCCCTCCCCCACGCTGAAGAATTCCAGGCAAGTTACAGGGCTGGCTGCACGATTCCCCGCTCCCACTGAAAACCTGGAACCCCGAAGGGAGCGGTCATCCAAGGTCATAGTCACACCAACAGCGCGGGGAAGAGTGGCCAAGACTCCTGGCTCCAGAGTTCCCTCACTTCCTTCCAAGGTGCTGTTACCATAGAGCAACAAAAGCGTTGACTTTCAAATGGAAGAGCTTCGCAGAAGGGTGGAGAGAAAGGCAAAGCAAGCACTACTCACGCAGGACCCAGCTCACCACCCTTACAAACATCATTTCGAAGACAACAGACCAGGGGCCAGTGCTGTGGTGCAGTAGGTTAAGCCTGCAGCACTGGCATCCCTTATGGGTGCAGGTTCGTGTCCCGGCTGCTCCACTTCCAATCTAGCTCTCTGCTGTGGCCTGGGAAAGTAGAAGAAGATGGCCCAAGTCCTTGGGCCCCTGCACTCACATGGGAGATCTGGAAGAAGTTCCTGGTTTCTGGCTTCGGATCAGCCCAGCTCTGGCCATTGTGGCCATATGGGCAGTGAACCAGCATATGGAAGACCTCTCTCTGTCTTTACATCTCTCTGTAACTCAACCTCTCAAATAAATAAGCAAATCTTAAAAAAACAACAACAAAAAAAAGACAATAAACTGAGCAAAATCAAAAGAGACGGCTCCTGTCGGCAGAGATGGGAACCAGAGACGCCTAACCAGGTTCCAGGCAGTGTCAAGGCGGCAGAGGTGGGCTGTGTTAGGAGGAGTCCCATCCCACGCAAACATCTTCCACAGCTTCCTTCCTACTACAGCTATCACTGTATGTGCATTTTCTTTCTTTATTATTTTTTTTTAAAGATTTATTTGAAAGGCAGAGTTACAGAGAGAGAGAGAGAGAGTCTTCCATCTGCTGGTTCACTCCCCAGATGATGGCAATGGCCGGAGCTGCACCAACCTGAAGCCAGGAGCCAGGAGCTTCTCCTGGGTCTCCCACGCGGGTGCAGGGGCCCAAGCACATGGGCCATCTTCTACGCTTTCCCAGGCCATAGCAGACAGCTGGATCGGAAGTGGAGCAGCCAGGTCTCGAACCGGCGCCCATATGGGATGCTGGCACTGCAGGCAGCTGCTTTACCCACTACACCATGGCGCTGGCCCCGTGTGTGTGCATTTTCATAAAAAAGAACTTCCATCTGCCCATAGCATGGACGGAAACACCAGCAGAAGCCTCTTCCTCACTTTGACCTCCAACCTGCCTTACTGGCCCTGCTGCCCTGGGACCTGCAGCTGGGAGCTGTGGGTGCTCCCACGAGGTGACAAGGGTGACCCCTGACAGCTCACTAGGAGCCAGCACCTTGCCAGAGGATCTCACAGGTCACGCAGAGGCCCCCTGGTGTCTCCATTTTACCCAGGAGGAAACCGAATTCCCGGTTACTCTCCATCAGGATGGGCTTGCCTGCTTCCGGTGTGCCAAGCACTGGCAGGCATCCAACGTGCCCGTCTATCCAATCCTCATGACAACCTTAGCAACCAGGGGCCACACGTAGGCATCTTACAGATGGCAGAATTAAAGCACCGAGGACCCAAACAACCAGCCAGCTCACCCAGCAAGGCCAGCAAAGAGCGGGGCAGGGCTGGCTGCTAGCATCAGTCACCTAGTGACCTGTCGAGGGGCATGCTGGGCGCCAGCCCGGGTTCCGAGCCCCTGTGTTCCCGGGGCAGCACCTGTGGATTTCCACTTCTGCAGGTTCTTCGCTGACGCTGACTTCCACGCTCGGCTGAGACCCAGACTTTGAGTCAGCACGGGGAAGTGGGGGGAGGGTGTGCAGCGCTTAGTCACCAGACAAAGCCCGCCCACTCACCGGGATGCGCCTGCCTTATTTATTTGAGACGTATTTATTTTACTTGAAAGGCAGAGTTACAGACGGAGTGGGTGAGAGAGACTTCCAGTTCGGTTCACTCCCCAAATGGCCGCAACGGCAGGGGCCCAAGCACCTGGGCCATCCTCTGTGGCCTTCCCAGGCCACCTGCAGGGAGCGGGCTAGGAAGTGGAGCAGCTGGGACTGGAACCTGCGCCACACGGGACGCAGGTGTCTCCCGGTTTAACCCGCAGCGCCCGCCAACGACTAGGTTTTCCTAAGTCCTCTCCAAGGCTTGGGTGCTGTGGGTCCTGGCTGCTCCCTTTCCCCGCCCGCTTCCGCAGCCGCGCCTGGGCGCGCGCAGCGGCAGGTGACCCCGAGTGCCTGGGCCCAACACCCCAGAGGGGGACTCGCGCGCTGCCCGCCCCCAGTCTTTCACTTAAGTAAATCAGTCTTTAAAAAAAAAAATCAGTTCGCAGAATTGCAGCGAAGGGTGCCCGCGGAGGCAGACGAAGCCCCGGCTCGCTCCTCCGAGCGGGGCTGGCGGGGACCTGCGGGAGCCCGCGCCCCGCACGCGGCTGCGTTTCTCCACTAGCCTGGCCCAGAGCGGGACCATCCCGCTCCTCCGTCCACACTCCGGAGCGGGCCCAAACCCTGCGGGGTTCCGCGAGGACAAGGGGGCACGCGGGGGTCTCCCGGCCGCACGAGGTGGGGGGCGGCGCAATGTCCGCGGCCGGGCCCGGCAGGGGCGCCCCCTCGGCGGCCGCGGCCATCTTGCTCCGGGCGGACCTGGACCTCGACCCCGCCCCGCCGGCGCCCGGGCCGAGGCGTCCACTGCAGGTGCGGCGGGTGAGCGGGCCGCGCGGCCTGGGCCGGGGGCCGGGGGCCGGGGGCCGGGCCTGCGCGCCCAGGGCGGCCTCTTGGGGCCGCGCCGGGGCCCTCCGGCGGCGCCCACGCGGGGCCGGTGCGGGAGAGGTGGCTCGCGCCGCCGTACGATCGCTCCTCGCCCCTCGGTGCCCTCCCGGGGCGGACGCGGGCCCGGGCTGCGTGGCCGCGCCCCTCTCGGCGCGCCGCGGCCGTTCCAAGTTCCCGAAAGTTTCTCCCGGGCTCGACGGCGGTGGTTTCAGCCCCGGGGCGACGGTTGCTACGCGAACTGAAACCCGGCGGGCGCCGGCGGACCCCGCCTCCGCCGCCCCCGGCCCCGCCCCGGCCCTGGGCGGCGACTCGGCCGAAGCCCGCCCGGCCGGGTCTTAAGCGGCGGCGCGCGGCGGGCGCCAGAGTCGGGCGCGGCGGGCACGCGGGCTTGCGTGCTCAGGGTCTCCTCGTCCCGCAGGTCGAGCTTCGAGTCAGCAGCGTTTCCGTGCACGGAGGAACCCGCCGAGACCCCCAAGATGCCGAAGCCAGTAAGTGGCGCGCGCGTGTGCGCCGGGGCCGATGCGCCGGGCTCGCCCCCTCGAGGGGCTCACCTGCGCCAGGTGTTGGGCCGCTGGTGCCGGAGCGGGGCTCAGGGGACGGAAGTTGGGCCTTTCCCGGCCTGTTGGTCGCTCGCGGGTCTCTTCGAGGCACGCCCGGGGAACGCGGTCACCGAGAGCCCTCTCCGGGCCGCGTCTGGGTCGCGGGATGACCGGGGCCCCTGCGGCGGCTGAGGACGCGCTCGCGGCTGGAGCTCGGGGGCTACCGACGACCTCCGCCCACTTGCCCGGAGCCAGGTGCGGCCGCGGCTTCCTGGGACGGGGCCGGGGGCGGGGGCTCCGCCGCAGCCCGGCGCGCAGCAGGACCGCGGAGTGTGCGGGTCGCGGCGGGATTCGTGGCTCTGGGAGGGTCGGCGAGCACCTGCGTTTCGCTGGGAGTCGGGTGAGGAGGGAGAAGGCCGCGGAGAGCGGCCCTGCCCCCTCGGATCCCGGGCCAGCGGGGCCGAGGGTGCGGTTCTTGGAAAGGTGTGTGTGTGTGTGTGCACCTGCCCGAAGGCGGCGGGCTCGCGCGCGCTGCAGGGCGGGGGGGCTTCCGGGTGCAGAGTGCTGAAAATACCCGGGAGCCACGGGAATCCGCAGCCGGAGCTGCGTGCGGGGTTTCTTTGTAACTTTTCAAGGGGGTCGCTTCTGTACCCGGCGCTTGGCTGCGCCTCGCTACTGTTGCTTTCTGAAACGATCTTTGTTGAAGCCTTGTTTCCTGACGAGGGTACAAACTCATTCTCCCTGTGCTGCTGAGGACCTCATGCGGCCCAAAATTCTTAATTCTTTTTTTGTGTGTGTGTGTGTCGCCTGGAGTGTGGCTTCAGGGCACCTGCGCTGTGGCACCGACACCGCGCCACACCCAAGGGCAGCCCGGGAGTGCGGCCTTAGGGGAGGGGTCGCGAGAAGACCCTGCCCCCGCTTCACTCCTTTTCCTTCTCATTTCTCATCGTGAATTCCCTGTGCCTTTTTAAATTGTGATAAAATGCACATAAGGCGGGTTGCCATTCTCTTACCCGTCTTCCAGCGTACAGCTGAGTGGCACTCAGTACTTTCACAGTGAGGAAGCCCAGGCCCAGACTCCGATGTCCTCCACTGCCACCCCCAGCTCCCCTCCCCTGGCTGCTGCCTGGCCTCTGTGGCTATGGCTTTGACTTCTCCAGGGACTCACAGGTGCAGCCGGACTGGGGTTGTCTTTGGCTGCCTGTCTCCCTTCATACAATGTCTTCATCAAGGTCAGAGCGAGTTTCGGAACCCTGAAAGCGCTCCGGTTTTCACGTCGGGTATGCCTTCGTTTCGTGTTTGCTCTAAAAGTCTATAATAATGAGGGACCCGACCGTGGCATTTCTGAGGCTGGACCGGATGAAGGTGGTTGTGAAACAGGCGGCTCAGCCTGGCGTGGGTGTGAGAGGCTGGGTTATCAGGCTGGGAGAGCAGTACCTGCTGGCCATCCGCTGTCGCCCTGCTTGCCTGCTGTGTGTTATGGGGGAGGGTCTTAGAGATAAGATGAACAGACTCTTACTCATTTGAATTCTGCCAGGCCCACCCCACAGGGCACGGTTCGCAGCCCCTGGTACTTGGATCTAGATTTCAGTTTAGTTTGCTGTCTCAGTAAATGTGAAAATGGAATCGCCTGGCAAGCTGTGTAGATTCTAATAATTCAGATCCAGGCAGAGACTCCTACTGGACTGCCTGCTTGGGATCTGGCGTTTTAACCGCAGGCACCCACCTGAAAGGCCCAGTAGCCCGGCTGGTGTGCCTCCCCCTGCCAGCAGGGGGCTCTGCACCGAGCCGGGCTGACCTGATAAGACTATAAAAGAAGTGCTTACTTGCTGGGTTTAATACTGTCTTAAAGCACCGCTTATTAGAAAGGTGGGGTGTGGGTCATTTTTCAAGCTGGCCACCTGCAGAGGCTGGGGTTGGGAGTGCCTATCTCGTCCTCTGCTGGGCACCCTGAGGGACCAGGGCTGGAGGAGGCCTTGGGAGGACCCTTGCCTGGCCAGCTGGTCGGGGAGGGTCGGATGGGTTTGCTTTTTCCTGCCTTTGCTGCTTTGGGGCTCCTGTGACCAGAGAGTTCCAAGGAGGGCGATTTGGGGGTGCAGCAGGCACCTGGCCCGGTCCCTGGGACGCGGTGTGCTGTATGGCCAGGTATTCGGGGAGAGCTGGCGCTGAGGCACCCTGGGGAGCTGCTGCCTCGTTCCTTTCTTCCCGACACTTGAGGGACATCCCAGGCGGTGGGGACAGAAGTCCTGGAGGAAGGGAGGAGGAGTGGTTCCGGGCTCCCACGAAAACTCAGTGGCCAGAGAGGGAATGAGAAGCCAGGCCGTGCCCAGCTCGGGGTTTGACCAGGAAGAGGCGACAGGATCAGATGTGCCCTTTGAAACCGGGACAGGAGAGTCCCTGGAGGCAGGTGGCGAGGGTGGCCGTGTAGGCTGCCGAGGTAGCCCAGATGAGAGCCAGTGCTGGCCTGGGCCAAGGCGGTGGCCGTGGCAATGGACAGCCGTGGGCGGGGGATGGGGGCAGGGCTCTCTGGATAGGACCCACGGCAAAGTGGCTGTGTGGGGCCAGGCACCTGCGTGGGTGCTGCTGCCGTCATCACAGAGCTGGGAGTTCTGGCCAGGGATCCAGGATGGAGGAGTTGAGAGCCTGGCCTTGCGCAGTTGCTAACAAATCTGTGACTGCGTGATAACGGAAGTCCTTGCCTTCCTGAAGTTCACCTTCAACACCGCGCTGCCATTGCTGGCACTGGAAAGAGCACAGCTGGGACAAAGGAGACGGTGGTCGAGAGTCTCCACCTCCAGAGGCCAGCCACCATGCAGGGGCATGTCTGCCGGGAGTCGAGGCACAGAGCTTCCTCTAGGGGCCACTGGAGCGCTCAGATTCGGCCTCTTGTGTTTAAAGGGGAAGAGTTCCCAGGCCTGTGAAATAACTGATAGGAGAGAAAGAGATCCCACTCTGTTCCTCTGTCCCTCTCATTCCTGCCACACTGGCCTCTTTTATTGTTAATGGCCCAAATAATAATGCTGTGATTGCTAACAGTTTTGAATAATTTTATTAATGCTTATGGTTTGGGAAAGGAAAATAATGTCAGTTGGTGAATTAGCATATTTTTATTGTATTGATTTAAAGATTATTTGTTTGAAAGGTAGAATTATGGGGCCAGTGCCGTGGCGCAGTAGGTTAATCCTCCACCTGCGGCGTCGGCATCCCGTGTGGGCACCGGTTCTAGTCCCAGCTGCTCCACTTCTGGTCCAGCTCTCTGCTATGGCCTGGGAAAGCAGCAGAAGATGGCCCAGGTCCTTGGGCCCCTGCACCCACGTGGGAGACCAGGAAGAAGCTCGTGGCTCCTGGCTTCGGATTGGCACAGCTGCGACCATTGCGGCCATTTGGGGAGTGAGCTAACAGAAGGAAGACCTTTCTCTCTCCTCTCGCTGTCTGTAACTCTCTCAAATAAAATAAATAAAATCTAAAAAAAAAAAAAAGATAGAATTACAAGAGGAGAGGGAGAGAGAGGTCTTCCATCTGCTGGTTCACTCCCCAAATGACCACAATGGCCAGGGCTGGGCCAGGTTGAAGCCAGCAACCAGGAGCTTCCTCTAGGTCTCCCACATGGGTGCAGGGGCCCAAAAACTCGGGCCATCTTCTGCTGCTTTCTCAGGCACATTAGTAGGGAGCTGGATCAGAAGTGGAGCAGCCAGTACTCAAACCAGCCGCTTCCCAGGTGCACATTAGCAGGAAGCTGGAATGGACAACAGAGCTGGGACTTGAACCCAAGCACTGGATGTGGGTGGCAATTCTTTGTCTTCTGTGTCTTTGGTCATTCGGGGGCCTTGGATGGTTCTGTACGGCTGACCGCGTTTAAATAGTTCAGCTGTGGCATCTGAAGTAGAAAAATTGAGTCGGCTTTCAGAGTCACCGAATGCATTTTGAGCCACCCTTGCATTTCATTTCCCATCAGTAGTAGCGGTGTTGGAACTGCTCAGCGAGTTTTTCTGTAAACACTGGATGGACACACACAGGACGTTTGTCGTCTAGAAGGTTGCGTTATTTTCCCTGTGTCCTATTCACCATCATTGCCTGTCGGCATAAAGAATAAATATTTTGCTACAGATTTCTGTTGTGCTGTAATGTCTTAGAGACTTTCCACTAAAGTTCTGAATAAAACAAAAGTATGAAAAACCATCACAAGTTTCATAATCAGGGTACTTCTTACCTGCGGGTGGAATGGCCACTTAGCTTCCGAGACTCCATTCTGTCTTCCGTCAAACAGGAGCAGAAATTTTTAAGCGATGAGACGGGTTACATAAACTCAGTTGAAACAAGGCTTTTGTATACCTGTGAAACCTGGTTTATCCTCAGACGCCGTAGCCTGTTTCTTGTGTGCCCCCCCCAGCCCCCCACCCCCCCGCCTCCATGTCTTACAAACTTTGCGGTGTAACCTGTTAGCCAGGTAAAGTTTGTCTCTGGTCGGCCCCAGGAACCGGCAGGACGCATTCTGCTCTGACCGTATCTCCTCTCCATCCTCTGCCTGTCCTGGTTGTGACTCCCTCCCACCCTTCTTTCTCCCTCCCTCCCTCCCTCGCTCTCCCTCCCTCCCAGGGGGCCCTGTGGGGTCATCAGGCTGGGACAATAAAAATTCCTAAGATTGGCTCTTTCAGTCTGGGAGGGAGGCGGCTGTGTAAACACAGGATCCTTAGCAGGGGTGAGGTCCTGGCCTCTGCTGGGGCAGAGGGCACTTCCGGGGCAGCGCCGGCCAGTTCCGTGCTCCAGGTCCGACAAGTGGCAGCGCTGTTCTAAAGGAGGTGGACACTGCATCCAGACTCCTGACCCTGCCGATCGAACAGATTTGAGGAAACCAGTCGTGAAGGCAAAGGCATGTCTGCCCTTGACTCCTTGTACTGATAAAAGCCAGAGGAAGTGACCTCAGCCGGGCCTGTCGGGTCTTGCCCTCC